GAATAGCCAGAGACAATGAGACCTATATAACTTCTTAGTCTGTAAGTGAATTGGTCTGGATCATCTCTTGGCAGAGAAAGAAAATGATTTTTTATATTTTTTCCGTCTCCCTTCACATATACTGTTTTGGTCTTTGGGTACTGCTTACTTGTTAAAGAATATTATCATATGGTTGCGATACTAGTTTCATCGTTCACTCGTCAAAAATTGGTTGCATTACGGTTCACGTAATTTTTTGGCTTAGCAGCCCTTGATGTTGTAAGAGCGCTAAAAAAAAAGAAGGATAGAGGTGCAGCATACCGTTGTCAAATTTCATTGACTGAACGTTAGCCAACGTATGAACCAAATGTCTTAGCTTGAGTGTTAGCTTATCTAACTACGTCACTCTTTTTACGAATAGCTAGGGTGGAAAAAGATAGGATAGAAAATAATTATTAAATTTCACCCAACGATACAGATAATTTTGTTAACGCAGAAGGAGGGAAGGAAAGGTAGGTCAGTTTCTGCGTCGTTGTCTTATTCGGTCTTTACTTACACGTGCTTCACAAAGTGCTAGCTCTAGTACGTCGAATATACGTATATTCATGGTGTAATGATTAATACATAAACGTGGACTTGAAAAGAGAAAAAGGACAAGGAGAAAAGAAAAAAAGCATGCATTGAGCGCAGCCTCAATGTAACACCAGTTACGTGAAAAAAAAATAAAAAAGAACGAATCGATACTTTCCATTATCTCCTTGGTGAACATCATAAGAAGTCGTTTTTGTGAAAAATTATGACAGCAGATAAAAAGTAAATTAATTTTGATAATCCGATGCAAAAAAAATCATATGTCGATCTTGGATAACCCTCTATGTCAATTCCAAAATGCAAAATTCTTATAGCTAAAGTAAAGTTTTGTGTGTAGTAAAATCTGAATGAAATTTTGTATTATAATTTGCTACAACTGAAGCAAACCATTACAGTGGAACGTTATTATCAAGCATTAAACCATCTGAGTAAAATTTTTAACGAAAATTACCTATTTACTAGCCACGCACTACGTCCAGTGAAATTGTTGCATGAGAAAGCCAGACCACAGATTGCGAAATTTGCCTCTAAACTTTAATACCTCTTAGCTAGAAAATCCTATCTGTTTAGAGCTTGTAACATGCAATAAAGTACTTTGTTTCCATGAATAATTTTTGTAAAAGTTTTAATTAAGAATGACTTTTACAAAACATTTTTTATTTAATTTTTTAAGTACAAACTAATACTGTCAAAACTCTCCCTATATTTTACTAATCGTCATGGTGAATGCTAAAATAATTTAAAATTACTTTACGTTCTAGACCGTTATCCGCTGTCCATGATTAAGGACCTGCTGTAGAAAAGCATGGGCAACGTCTTCTTAGCAACGGACCTCCAGAAGGCATGTTATCAGATTCTAATAGCCCAAGAAAACATTTAAAAAAGCGGTCATGACTTTGTGGGCTCTATGAGTTTTTATTCAACGCACCATGAATCATATCCTGCAGTAGCTGCCCTGCGTCAAAGGCTACATGGATGATCTTCTAGCGGTCTTGCACAACCGTAAGGAACATGTGTGACAGCTGCTGTAGCCCTGTTAGAAGCCAAGTTGAAGATCAACGCCTTGAAATGTACCATTGCCCAGCCCCATGCTCTTTTCCTTGGCTATTTGGTCGCGGAAGACGGTTTTCAGCCTTAACTAGTGAAAATTGAAGCGATCAAAAAATTTTCAGACCCAGCATGGCCATAGAACTACGCCGCTATTCGGGGATGGTAAATTACTACCATTGGTGCATATCTCAGCCAAGGTGCAGGCACTGCTTCACGAGCTTCTTAAGGGTCTCCCCAAGAAGGCGCAGCTAAAGTGGTCTCAGAATGCTGAGCGGGCTTTCTAGAACTGTTGTAACGGCGTCGCAGACGCGGGTGCAACTCTAGGGTGCACAATGATTAACCAGGCTCAACATTATACTTAACGCATTCAGTAAGAAAAGCAATTATTCACTCGCACGTGCACACACACTCACACACACTCTGCTAATGTAAAACATGATCTGATACTGACAATGTCAAGAAATTATTTAAACACTGTGCTACAAACTGTAACAAATGCTGATAACGCTAGTACAGTAGTGACTTGTAAAAAGTCGTAATATTAAAGCTTGAACAGATTAAACATCCCTCTAAAGTTGACCGTGGTTGGATGGCCATTAGTGCTAGGTGGACTCGGTCCCCTCATGTCTGCCTCGCTCGGCGAGACAGAGGTCGTTGAGTCGTGGATCGAGCTCCCTTCTCGTCGTGGCTGCCCAAGCCTTGTGTTTGGTTGGCTGGCATGTGATTCCTCGTCCTCTTATGGTTGGGATCTATCGGGATATAGCTCACTTTAGATTTGTTATCAACAACTTAACGTGCGGATGTACATCGCTTGAGGTCATTAATATGAGTTTTTATTGATTTCCCTGTTGCGTTATCCCTTACATCCACTACTACATTACATCTAAGATCAACTGAGTTACAATGCAGGGATCTATAAGTTTCGAAGCGAATTTCACTGTAAATCCTTGAGCTCCTGAAGATGACACGTGACTCCTTCACATTACACTATCCCCTAACACAAACAATTTAGCCCTCCACCTGCGATTGTATTTTTTTGGCTGCTTCCTTATCCCTGACTTGAGATGCTTTACAACCAAATCTCTAATCATTTCTAAGTGGCTAGCCCTATCGGCATATATTATCGTATTAGTCAAATCTAACGGCGCAGCTGGCGTGTCACGGTTCGGAAGTGCTACAGGTGGCGGATTTTGGCCAAAGTTTAGGGATGCTGGAGTTAATTTTGTGGATGATTGCTCTATTGTATTAATTGCAAATGTAAACTCATGCAAATCTGCATCCCGTAGTTGATGATCTATATCCAAGAACGAGTTTATCATCAGGTTCAGGGTACGAATCACGCGCTTTGCAGGGTTGGCTTGTGCGTGGTATGGCTGGATGGTTAAGTGTTTGATGCCATAAATTTTACACATTTCGTTCAATTTTAGATGTATTTCGGTATTTTCCACCTGTTTAGTACTAATTCCTCTACCGCTTTCTGAATGCTTTTCCCGTCTGCCTTTCGGAGTGCTGTTAACTCGATATATTCAAGAAAAAGATTTTGAATAATCAATAGATATCTGTGAGCATTTGGCGATGGAGGTTTTGGTCCTGCAATGTCCATTGCTTTTGCCATCCATGGTTGTTTGGTAATTCTTTTGCCCATAAAACCGGCCGGAGCTTTCTGTAGGACTTTTTGCTGTTAACATTCTTGACACTCGCGGACATACTGAACTACATCTAGAAAATCTCCAGGCCAATATCAATAATTGGCGAGATGGGAATAAGTTTTTTCTACCCCTAGGTGATCTGCTTGAGATTAATCGTGAGGCTCGTGTAATGCATGAACACGATGTTCCTTTGGTAGGACAATTTTCCATTTATCGAGGTCCTCTATCGTTGAACTAACGATAGAGTTAGGTTTGTGAAAGAAAAGGGCCCCGTTCTCATATTTCTAATTTGCAAATTTCTGTGGAACCTCTTGCACCCCTTTTACCCGTTTCAAGAACCATTCACCACTTACTTTCTGTATATTGGGCGTAATTACTGTGACTGAGTTTTTCTGTGCACGAGATAAGGCATCCAGGAGCTGATGTAGTTTTTCTTTCCTACGGACAAACTCTAAATCATATGCCTGCAACGCGGTGTTTCACCGAGCTAATCTTTCTACTGGGTCCTTCAACCTATTGAGCCATAACAGTCTGCTGGGGTTGGTGATTACTGTAACATGTTCACCTTGTGAATATCCTTTTAATTTATCCACAGCCCACAACACAGCTAAACACTACTTTTCTGTAACTGTATAGTTCCGTTCTGGCTTGTTTAGTGTGTGGCTGACAGAGCATATTGGATGTTCTTCGCCATCGAGGTTATGTATCAATACCGCAGCCACAGCATAGTCGTTGGCAACTGTTTGTAGGACGAACGGTTGCAAACGATCAGGCCTCGATGAAACCGGTTCTTTGGTCACAGCTAAAAGGTCTCAAAAGCTGACTATTGATTGTCGGTCCATTGCCACTTCATGTCTTTAGATATGAGCTTCGTTAGGGACCATTTCTTTTCAGCGAGATCAAGGATAAATCTGGAGTACCATTCAATCATTTCTATGAATCTTTTAAGTTTTTTCATGGATGGTGGGTACAAGGTACTCTAATATTGGCCTGACTTTATCGAGATCTGCCCTGAGACCTTTCCCATCAACCAAAGTTTATTGATAACGAGATTCATTTCCTTCAATGCTCTTAAAATAATCCTGAACCATTTAAGGTGGCCCTCGAAGGTTTCTGTGACAGTTATGATATCGCCCATATACGTATAAACATATGGTTCCCATTCTGGTTTGATAATTTGATCCATGATGGTCTGGAATGTAGCTGAGGCGTTTGTTAATCCATAGGGCGTGCACTCATATTGATATACTCGTAATTCTCTACCGAGTACAGCAAACGCTGTTAATTTCTTGCTATTCTCATCCAAGAGCATTTGGTGGTAGGCTTCACAAAGATCGATTTTCGGAATGTACCTAGCCCGACGCAATTTATTTAAGATTTTATCCATAAATCGCATGGAATACGCCTTTTTTCGAGTAATTTCTTAAAGTTTCTGGTAATCTATACAAAAATGAAATTCTCTGTTTGCCTTTGGCGTAAGAATCAGACAGCCACACCACACACTTTCGGATTCTTCGATAACATTTTTATGCAACAACCGATCTATTTTATCGTATGTGACTTGTAAAACTTTTGGCACATATCGTCGGAGACGTTGCTTAATTTGGGGGTTATCTCGCACATTCATACTGTCTTTGGCTACGGTAGTCATACCGTGATTTTCTGGGCGAGGGACTATCAGATCGTCGAGGATCTTCTCCAGTTATTGCTCCTCAGAAGGGGTCCTCGTTGTCAACCCTTCTGCTGCTGAGCGTATCCGCTCTCCTTCTCCTTAAATTCTTGCCAGGGAATTGTGTGAGAACGCCATACATCATTACCGTAATCTACGTTAACTTCGAAGGTCTTCAGGAAATCTATCTTAAAAATGGCTTCGTACTCCAATTCGTCCACTAATCCCAACATCAACGTCTTGGTAGTTTGTCTGATGGCTAACAGAATGCTTATAATGCCTTGAACGGCTAGTACCTTGCCGTTGGCCACAAAAACTGTAGCACAATAGGGCTGAAAACTTTTCATACGCTTCGTGATTTTTTTCGACAGATAACAGTACACTGTACCGCTATTAACAAGAGATAGTGCTCTATCTGTGTTGTCGTATCGTTTTCAATCTGTGTTGCCTGTTAATTGTCTTACTTTTTGGCCCTTACACTGCTAACACTATGATTGGATATTTCTACTGCAGGTTCACGTTAAAACTTGGGGATTTGTTATCTTTTGGATCCAATTAAAAAACAGTGTTTCGGTCATAACATCTTAAAAACAAAAGGTTAATGGCACTACATATAATTCGGTTGTTAAACTGTAGTATTTAAGAAATTAATTTTCAGTGCTCGCTTTGCTAAGAGACTGACTTGAAGTACTGCTAAAGCTATGGCTTAAAGTTTGGCTTAATGGCTGGCTTTTTTGTCTGGCTGAATGTATGGCTCAATGTCTGGCTGAAATTTTGGCTGAATTTATCGGTGAAAGTATGGCTCGAAGTATGGGTTAATGTATGGCTAAAAGTACGGCTTAAAGTATGCCTCAAACTATGGCTATACAAGTATGCTTAAGAGTATGGCTAAAAGTACAACTCCAAGTATGGCACGATGTCTGGCTGAATGTGTGGCTGAAAGTATGGTTAAAACTATAGTTCAAAGTACGGTAGGATGAGTGGATAAATGTATGGCTTAAAGTATGGCTCAAAGTTTGGCTTAATGTATAGCTTAAAGTATGGCTAACAGTATGGCTCAAAGTATGGCTCAAACTATGTGTACTAAAGTATGGCTAAAAGAATAATTCTAAGTATGGCACGATTTTAAGGGATGTACCACAATATTTATTTATTTATTGGTCTTTCAATGCATTAGCTCAGTTTACAAGATACGATACTTTATTTCAGACTGAATGATTGTGGCCGAAGTTTATAGCTATAATAGCCTGAAATTGTCCAGATCGCTGTTTCTTTATTATTTTTTAACTGTTATATAAAAAAATAATCACAATTTCAAGAAAAAAGAAGAACAGCAGTACAATTTTAGATCATTATAGCTACAAACTTCTGCATCAGTCATTCAGTCTAAAACAAAGTATTTTTTTCAAAGTATGCTGCTCTAAATAAAATAGACTTTTTGATAGCTTACTACGTGTACATTGTGTGTTATTCTATAAATTAAGAAAAAAAGACATTCAACATTGTCTAATATATCGAAGGTGGATGAGAGATACAGCGATGAAAACTTCATTCCCTCATGTGCAAATAGTCGCAACAGCTATGTCATACTGAGACATAGGAATAAGTCAGACAGATAAAATGTATCAAACAAGCCTTAAATAACTGAGTGAACCAGCAACATGAGATTTTTTATCAAATAGAAATTATAATTGATTTATAAAAAATCCTTTCTTTATGTGTACATACACTTTTTCAGAATGTACGTTTGTCGTCTAGGTACCCTACTAAATGATTTTTATTATTTGATTGAATAATAATATTTATAGTGCATAAAAAATGAATGTTGAAGTATCTAAAAAACTTTTTAAAACACTTATTAAAAACACTTTCAGGTTATGTCGCCTGTTATAATTTGTATTATAATAATAAATATGTGTGTATAAACATAATGATTCTGAAAAGCAATATCAGGCAAAGCATACGCCCTAACCTGCTATTAATATTTTGTTTACCTCCGTCCTCATCGTGGTCCTCGTCATGTTTGTCCTCTTTATCGTCATTGACATTTGTACAGTGATCCGTTTTGAGTGAAGTTAGCGTACTGATGTTTTTATACGTACACCTACAGAAAGTAACAGCAGCTATGTAGTGTCAGCGTCATGTATGAAGTCGTAAGTGGCGTATCAGCATCGCATTCCCATCACCACATGAGAGCTTGCAGCTGCCCTAGCTGAGCCAAAGCTAGCTAATGATCAGGCACTGCTGTAACCCCAAAAGATGATGCAGCAGAGTTTGCGATTCTTCTAGCTAAACTAATGGTCGCTAATGATTTAGCGCCACGTGAGCGTCGCGCTCTTGTCACTGCACCATATCACTATTGGGTGCCTCATCAACATGGCATTCTCGTCGTCGTATTAAAGTTTGCAACTTCTCCTGAGACTTAAAAAAAAAATATATGTATGTATATACATCCTAGTAAAGGTGTGCCAACCAACATTTTCTGCGCTAAATAATTAAAAGTGTTGTTCAGAAGCGTCAAAATTTAAAAAGATGGTACCTTTGACGGCCAGTAGTTTCTGATTGAACAATACGCCTCTATAAGCGGTGTTCCCAGCGCGGAATATGTTTATACGAGCAAAAAATCCAAAGATTTTTAAGTTATTACTTTATTTGATACTACAACAAAAAACTAATAATACTAATAATAATACTCTTTTATGCTTTTATCAGGAAGCGGCAGTACCATGGTTCAGATTTTTTTCAAACTATTTCTTTGTTGACTTATTTCAATTACATTTTCTAAGTACTTCAGAAAAAAATATTGATTTTTGTTCCAATATTGCTACCTTGACGTTAAAATAACTCTGCATCCGGTATTGAAATAACTTTTTAATTTTGTTGCTTAGAAATTGTTTTCTTCAATTTTTTTTTTTCCATATTGTAAGTGAACATCACTAAATAACTATGCGTATAATGTCGCCACAGTAAATATACTAGTCTAAGGCTTGGAGAAACTACAGAGAGAGCATGCTTTAATAAACGTACTCCAAACAATAAATTTTTTTTTTTATTTATTAAACAACAACGAGATGTTCATGGATTTTTGTAGTTATACTACTGAAATCAGCATGAATCTTCTTATCACTTTTTATCGAGTGTTTTCAGGATTTTTCAAAAACATTGAAAAATTGCATCATAAGCTTTTATGGAAATCTATATTTTTTAAAAGGTGTTTCCAAGAATCAATACGTTTATCGAAGTAAGTTATTAATGATACACCAATAAAAAAAAGTTCGTATTTTTTGGGACGGATTAATATACTAAACAGTGTTGCTTATCGACAATAATAGTTTTATAATGAATTAAATTAACAATATTCAAGATGTGTCATTTAGTAATTTTTAAATACTAAATAATACACCAATTCTTAGTATCAATATAACAACGCGCTGAATGATTTCAGTATTCGACGCTTAATTTACTGGGCACATAACGGTTTTGGTCTCCTTAATAAGCAATGAATGGTTGGGTTTATATTTCACTTACATTATCTTGTACAAAGTATTTGTAAAAATTATGTTTTAGTATTCAAACGCTATACATGTACTTACATAATTACATAAACGTGGTATTACACTTTATGTATAATACACATTTAAACTCTGGTTTGAATAAAAAAATGTGAATATTTATTTAATAAAATAATTAAATTATTACTTTGCTTTGTTAAAATAATGCTTAGTAATGACACGTCACATTTGCCAAGCATTTATGTAAAAAAAATGCAACAAACCAACAAAATATTTTTTTAATAAGAAAACCTAACTTAAAAAAGTTATGCTGACAAGAAAAAAAAAATATCAGTGAAATTTAAAAGCTGGCATGTTTGGCTGGAGCAAAAGACTTAGCCTACCCAGCTACCGTCGATCGTACCTGTGATGTGCAAGATTTTATATTTAGGTTGTAAGAAGTGGGTAGGACTTAGGTTAAATATCTGGGTTGGGGGGCTCTCCCAATCTTGTTTGTTCTGTGGAGAAAGGGTGATTGCGCACTGCGCATGTAGAGAACTCCCGAAAATCTGGGAGCCTTGGCGTTGACTATTTTTAAATATTAGTTAAATACTTCATTTTTTTAGTTTGATAACTAATTTATGTTGAGAAACTATATTAAATTAAAATAATTTAACTACAAATAATGTGATACCCCATAAAATACTACCTTATCTAAAGATGTGGCTGAAGGGTGGCTGAAGAGAGTTCTTTAAAATTGTCATGGGGGCCTTATTGGATCATTCGATTATTAAGTTATAAAATTGTGAGGAAGGGTTGAGGGTGAAGGGGGGCTAAATAAAAATTTAATACAATAAAAATAAGGGAAAAATTAATAAAATTTTACCTCATTCAGAAGAGTGGCTTGCGGCGTGGAAGAGGGGAGTTGAGGTGGAGATTAACATACCAAGTTGGCTCCCAGGCACCGTCAAGTTGACTCCCGGGCCATAATGAGTAAATACTAATACTATAGATCTCCAGATTACAATTTTCAATAAAAATGATTATTTTTTCCGTCACACTTTATCCAGGCTTCGAACTGGGAGTATGAGTTAGTTAAATACTGGCGTGTTTATAAAAATTGTAAACTTATTCATGAAATGTGAATCTTTTGATAAAATAAGATACTATTAATAATTACAAGGTTTGTAACATGATTTTGTTTATACATGATCATTTCCCCTTGTAAAGAAATTTTTTTATCTGGCAGAGATTTTGATTTTTTTTTTTTTTGAACTACGCATTTTAATAAATGACTACAAACTAAACGAAAAAATAATAGTTTTAATATTTAAATGATGTTTAATATATCAATCGTAGAGCATGTTTCGTGTACTCCTTTTGTGCATCCTAATTACCCGCCAGCTAACTCGACTATTCACTTTATCAGTTTATGAGCTAACTCGACCATGTGTCTTAATGGCCTGGGATCCAATTCGATCATAGATAAGACTTTCTTTTTCATTTGGAAGCGAACTTGACATTGGTCTTAGATTTATGATGTAATGTAATTATAACACTATTGATCGAACAGCTGTTTAAATTACCGAATATTTTGGAGCACACATTATTTGATATTCATTTTTTGAGAATACTGAAAGTTTTAATTTCTCCTTTTTCAATCTATAACAATAATCTCATTTCGTATGTGTGTGTGTATATATATACATATGAAATAATCTATATTTTGATTTAAACAACTCTTTATCAGTAGAACGAATTTTGATTTTTAGTTTAAAAATTTTTAATAAAATTCATAAAAATGGTAGTTTTATAGTTTCTTGAATTATAATACTACTATTACTGTTATTCATGACTAGAAGAATTTCACAAAAACCTTCTAAAAAAAAAGTTAATTTA